AGAGCGTCCTAAAATGACCTGTGGGTTTAACTGAAATTGGGTTTTTTTAACAGTTACAATTAAAAAAAGTTTAAATTGACAAAAAAAACATAAATTAATTTATATTTTTTTACATTGTTCAATAAAAAAATATTGAATATTGAATGATCGAACTGTTATTAAAAAATGAGTACAGAGGATTGTTTTTGCATTGTATATCATGTAATAATTTTAATATCATGCTTACTGTATATTTTAGATGTTTTGATGAAACAAAATCTACTTAATATTTTAAGGAACACCTTAAGTGTAATTTTGCAAAATCTGAAATGCATGCTGTCCTCAAAATAGTTTTATGAAGTTTCAATGGAAAATAATTAACGTTTAATGAATGAATAGTTTTAGTTAGTTTTAAATCACATCTGTTACATCTGCTAAAGTGGCCACAGCTCTGAGACGATTTTCTGATTTATTTTTTAACCACTAGATGGTGCCAAGTGTGCTCCATTCATAACCTTCTGTCAACTGTTTTTCTAGATAGATTTTCTTCCTGATGTAAGTGAACATGGCGGCTCAGAGTGTCGGCACCATCATCAAGGACCTGTCACTGCCGTCAGTAGGACGTGTGGAGACACCTAGAAACTTGGAGTCCAGGCCTGTAGTTGGAGCTGGACCCTTCTCTGATGAAGCCACTTCCATCCTGTCCTCCACCAGCCAACTGGCCAGAACTCTTCTGGGCCACAGTTTTGTTCTTCAACGCCGAGACAAACCCTCCAACTCTGAGGCGAAGTCGGGGAGAAGCGCTGATGAAGAAAGCAGCAGCAACATCTCATCCCGCAAACGTGAGTTTATGCCCATTGAGAAGAAGGACGAATGCTACTGGGACAAGAGGAGAAAAAACAACGAGGCAGCAAAGAGGTCCAGAGAGAGGAGACGAGCCAATGACATGGTCCTGGAGGGGAGGGTTCTGAGTCTGCTGGAGGAAAATGCCCGTCTGAGGGCTGAGTTGCTGGCCCTCAAGCTGCGCTATGGTCTGGTCAAAGACTCTTCAAACGTGAGCATCCTGCCCCTCTCTGTGCCCCCTGGTGCTCTCTATCCAACCCACAATGATGGACCCTCGTTCCTGAACACACCACAGAAGAACACTGCCCAACAAGTCCACCTCCATTATCCACACCAGGCTCTACCATCATTCATCTATGGGGTGAGAGCAGCTCCCCCTGTGGTGAGTCACAGTGTTTCTGAAGAGTCGTGTGTTTCTACCTCCTGTAGTTCAAACTTGGGGAGCCCTGTTTTTTTTGAGGACACATCCAGTGAACTTGGGCCTTCACCTGGAGAACTGGTGGAAGAACAAGTGGGCAATCAGTCCCACATGTGTCTTCTAGAGTTCAACGAGGCTCAGTGCATCACCAAACATCAGACCCGCGAGGGTCTGAGGAACTTACCCCACAAACTCCGCTTCAAAGGCCCCAGCAGCTGCTCTGACGGAGGAGAAACTCCTCCCACATCTGCTGACAGACACAGTGAGCCGCCTGTAGCAACTGTGATGCCAAATATACAGATGAGGGACCACCAGCAGGCGGGGTGGTCCACAGAGGGTGCCGATGCTGGAGTCATGCAGCAGTACCAAGTTCTGTCTTCTGACGATTGTAACTCCAGAGACGGGAGGTATAGAACAGAGGACATGAGTCTGAGGTCACAGGTCAGCTGTTTGTCTCAGGAAGTGGCTCAGCTGAAGAGACTCTTCTCCCAGCAGCTGTTCTCCAAAGCTGTTCATTATGGACATTTTCAAAGACTGGGTCGGGAGCCAAAGAGTTTATGACTGGGTTAGAAATCATATGTGTGTATTTGTAATCAGAACATCACAGTCTTTTACCACAATTTTTATGTGTACGTTTACACTTAAAACAGAAAATTAAAGAAAATTAAAGTAAACTGAGATTAAGCTAGTTTTAGAAAGAAAACTATTAAACAAACGGTCCAAAAAAAATTTAAAAAGTGATTGGAAATGAATAATTAGTTCCCAAAATGTTCAAAGGTGTATATTTCTGTATATCTTTGGATGTCACAAATTGACCAAGACACACTGTTGTATGACATTTGTGAAAAACTGTTCCAAAATGCAAATGTGTATATTTGTGCCAGAAAAAATAATTACAAAAAATGAATGTCACAAATTCATCAATAAATAAGAAAAATATTTTTTAAAAGTTTAAAAAGTGACTGTAAAAAATACTTATGTCTCAAAATGTGCAAACATGTATTTTTCTGCTTAAAAAGTAATTAAAAATATATCTTTGGATGTCGCAATTTCTTCAATAAAAAAGATTGTGTGACTTTTCAAATTCAATATATAGAATTTGCACTTGAAACCTACTACCTACTAGATGGATACACATAAATATTTAAATTTACGTCATTTCCCCTCCCTGGTTTGCGCATGCGTATACGTAACAAGCGCTTTTAAATTATACCGGAAAGGTATGCTCTTGTTTTTCAAACAAACATTTGGTCGTCGTCGTCGATCGTGCGTGGGTGCCAAGGAGAACGCTAACTTCACACAGACAAACTTTTTACGTTTAAACTACATAATGAAGCAGTTGTATGTGATGTTCAGCCATTCTATGAACAGTAGTGCGTTAGTTTTGTTCTCGATAAACTTTTTTTGGCGGCTAGCTAGTTAACCTGCTAGCGTGTGTTTAGTGCTGCGGTCCAGCGTTTTTAGCTCAGGCTGAACTACAGCGTCTATTCACGTGCGACCACGGTTATGCTCTGTACGGACATCTGGCTAACGGCTGTTTATCCTGACCCAGGTAAAATGAGACATATTTCACACATGTTAAACAGCTTACAATCAAGACAGACCACACGTTGCACAGTTGCTGGTCAAGTGTTGTTACAAGTTGATCTACAGGTTTCCAAATGATGTCGTAGAATTTTACCTACCAGTCACACTGGAGAGGAGTTGTGTATTTCAAAATCTAGCTGCAGCTCTTGTTAAAAAATGACATAATCACTAGTCATTATCACTATGTTTGCATTGTTAATGTTTTACTTACTAATATGACACAAATGCTCACTACAACTGATTGTGTATTAAGTGTGAGTTTGTAAAGGCCAGGTGATACACTTCCGGCCTTTTGAACATTATGGTACTGGTTTGATGAGTCACTGAAATCGAAATTGCACCAGAATGTGCCATCATTCTAGTTAATAAGCATCAGTGCTGACATTTTGTGATGTGGACATAACATTTAATATTCTGTGTAAAGAGTTTCTTTGCTCACTGTCAGCAGCTCTGCTCCAACGCATATGCATCTCAGCAGCTAACGCTAGCTTTTGACAGAAGTTTAAATGATTCGTAGTTAGTTTTCCGTCCTAAATAATGAACATAGAGTTGTCGTGGTAAATAAGAAATTGGCATTTGACAGGAGTTTGAACTGGGCTGATGCACCTTTGTTGAAAATATTAAATTAACTTGCAAATATTGCTTTTCTGTACAGAAACCCATCCCACTGGGCAGAGCCACGGACGGTCCACCACAACGGAGAAGGAGACCTTCTGTTTTTCCGTCGCTAAAGATCCAGTAAGTGACACGAAATGATTACACTTAACAAGTGCTATCAATGACTATAGGATAGTAATGAGTTTGACTTCAAGAATATGGAATGTCCACGTGGAGCTACTAATGGCAACACGACTCTGCTAGTTCTGACTTGCAATTGTGTTACAAACAAGGCTCTGTAGTGTATATGATATGAAAATCATACTCTTATCATGAAAAGGGGACACGACTAAGGCCAGTAGAATTGATTTATTTTCACTCAGGTTAAAAGGAAATTAGTGCAGCAGGGATTTCTTCCTGAGGTTATCGGTGGCATCAGTAATGTAGAGCAAACCAATAATTTGTGAAGTGAAGCCATGACTGCATTAAAGCCTTTTAATACAGTGGTATGAAAAAGTTTGGGCATCCCTGATCATTTTTCCAAGATTTTCCTTTATAGATCATTGGTTGTTCGGAACAGCAATTTCAATTAAATATATCATATAGCAAACAAACAGTGATATTTAAGAAATGAAATGAAGTTTATAGGATTTACAGAAAGTGTGCAATAATTACTTAAACAAAAGTAGGCAGGTGCATAAATTTGGGCCCCCCAACAGAAAAATTACATCAATATTTAGTAGATCCTCCTTTTGCAGAAATAACAGCCTATAAATGCTTCCATTGAGGGTCTGGATTCTGGTTGAAGGTATTTTTGACCATTCTTCTTTACAAAACATCTCCAGTTCAGTCAGGTTTGACCGACAGACCACAGATTTTCAATGCTATTCAGGTCTTGGGGGCTGAGATGGCCATTCCAGAATGTTGTACTTGTTCCTCTGCATGAATGCTTTGGTAGAATTTAAGCGGTGTTTAGGATCGTTGTCTTGCTGAAGTAATCAACCCCGGCGCAACTTCAACTTTGTCACTGATTCTTGAACATTGTTCGCAAGAATTTGCTGATACTGACTGGAATCCATGCGACCTTTAACTTTAACAAGATTGCCAGTACCTGCACTGGCCATACAGCCCCACAACATGATGGAACCACCACCAAATTTAACGGCGGGCACA